AAGTAAATTATCATGTCAGGATCCAAGCTGTAATTTTTATTCAGCTGCAAATTGAATCAGTGTTCTCATTTCTCCTTAATCAGATTCCTCCTATTTTGAGATCTTAAGGTCTTCTTTATCTTCTTTTTCCCCATCGTTGGTTTCTTCTGCTCCCCTAACACCTTCATCTTCCTCCTCCTCTTCCTTCACTGTTATTTTAGTTCCGGGTACGCAGCTCTATCATCTTCTTCTGGTTCCTTGTCCTTGCCACCAGCAATGTTTACCAGTCTTCAGATGTCAGCCCTGTTTGTTTACCTTGCTTCTGTTTCGTGATGGGAATGAAAAGATATGGGAGGCTTCCTACTTCCCTGACCTGAGAACAAGGAATATTCGTTCGGCATGATAAGTTTAAAAACGATTGTGTGGGGGGCCTGTGATGCGTCCGTGAAGGCTCCACGGGAGAAGGAACTGAATCAGTTGCATCCTGAGTCAGTTGTCCTGAACCAGCGTGTGCCAAACCCCCGTGTCTTTAGTGAGTAGTTCCAAATAGTCTTTCTAAGGGTGAATAGAAACATGGCAGTTTTCCTGCTCATCCTTCCACATATTCACTGGGCACACATAGACAGTAGTTTCTGGGGCCACCGATTTATAATTTTTCCCAGCATGTTGCAGGAGCAGAAAAAATTCACATGTGTCTGCCCACATCTGTTCCAGTAAATCACCAGCCTCTGCTCAGAATACAACATATTCCTATTAGATAGTATGTTTGGCAAGATTATCACCATGTAGTATTTTAGAAATTCAAACAGAGTAATTTTTTGAATTTCATAATTTCGGTAAAATATCTGTGTAGTAGCTAGATAATATTTTACTTAATTGACTGTGATTGGAATTTGAGCTAGATTTAAATTTTCTCCTAAAGTAGTAAAGTTTTATATTTTCTGCTCTTAACATTTTCATTATTATATATATTGACAATTTCTGTGTACAGACACAAAAACATTGATTTTAATAATTTTCTCTTAAATAAAAACACTAATCTAGCTGATTAGACTGCAAATACATATTGTCTTAATTTGCCAGAATCAAACCAAATGCCGTCATCTCCTAATGGAATCTGAGCTAGATGACTATGATATTCTATTTGAATCTCTTCTCTTTAAACTTTGTTATGGCTTCTCCTCCAGAATTCAGATCTGATTAGGGTCTGTGGTATTAATATTATTAGAAGTAGCATGCATTAAATGGTAATGATAAACACCCTCAGGTGGATATCCTCCAGTTATACGACCCTGCACTTCGTGTTCAGAGCGTTAAAAGGCATGTTATTTGATCACAGATTTAATGCCACCCCCAACTCCCATCTAAACTCTGCTCTTTGGGAAGAAGTCAAAGGCACAAATCTGGCTCCTCCCGCGTTGCTGATGGGAAGATACCCTGCAGAGCCCTGCCAAGGGCACCTCTTGCCGCCAGCCAGCGATTCAGCTCCTGGCAGCCCCTGGAACCCAGGGCAGCACTGGCTTGTGCTCCCAGACAGGCTCTAAGAGGAATCAGAGAAGGACTTCAGAGCATGAGACCAAAGAGTGAGCCCTAAACGTTGTTCTGGGATTCTGCATCAGTGGGGGCTGTGTGCTGTACACAGACATTCTGCTTCTAGATCAGGAGCTGAAGGAAAAAACCATAGTGGAGAGGAGGAAAACTTAGGTTTTTTGTTCATATAGATATAAAGCAAATAGATGTTCTGGGTGCCTTATGTGGCTCATTTAAACCTCTTAAAAGACCGAGGAGGCAGGTATTATTATTCCTATTTTAGAGATGAAGAAACTGAGGCCAGAGAGGATAATTAACTTTAAGAAAGTTGCACAGCTGTGAGGATTGGATCCTGGGCCGCTGGGCTGGTTCTCTACTCTTCTAACCACCTCTCATTCTGTATTATGGAATCGCGTTTAGTTGTTGTATCAACATTTAACAGATTGCAATGCTTATAGGTTTACGAACAAGGCAGGTATATTTTTAAGAATAAAGCAAAAAGAAAATGTGAAAGAGGTAGAGAAATAAAAGTGCTGTTTATTAGTGCAGTTAAGGAGTATTCACTATTTGAGTTTTATTGCTATCACACCAGTTTTACTGTTATATTAACTTAGAACAAATCAAAAGGGTATAATATGTTTATTTCTTCTTCTGAATTTTTTGAAATCACAACTCTTTTTAATGTTTCCGGGACACATGGCCTTGAGGCCCCTACCCCTTTAGCATGAAGATTAAAGTTTAGATCTCTGGAGAACTCTTAGATACTGCTTGTCCTATCAGATAACGGACTTAAATACCTACCCCAGCCCCCGGCACAGGCAGAGCACGTGGTCCCCACAGCTTAGAACTCTCCCTGCTTCTGCTCTCTCACCACCTGGACAACGTGAGAATCACAGTGCTGCCTCCCTGGAAAGGTGGCCCTCAGGAGGAGGTGAGCTCATCCACAGGGATCCTGCAGGGCAGTGTGGGGCCCACAGCAAATGGTTCGGGAACTCCGGCTGCCATTCTGTAAAGACCCCCATTCCTTCTGGTATCAAAAGAGCTTCTCCAACACCATGATACCGCTCACTGCAGCATTTTTCACAATAGCCAGAAGTGGGAAGCGCCACAGGTGTCCAACAACACAAGAGTGGATAAACAAAATGTGGTGCATACATGGGATGGGATGTTATTAATGCCTTATTAAAAGGAAGGAAATCTTGTCACGTGCTACAACATGGATGATCCTGGAGGACTATGCTGAGTGAAATAGGCCAATCACAAAAAGGCAAATACTGTATGATTCCACTTATATGAGGTACCTAGAGTAGAGCCAAACTTTTATAGACAGAAAGTAGAATGGTGGGTGCTGGAGGCAAGCAGTGGGGGAAAAGGAGAATTCTTTAATAGGTGTGGAGTTTCAGTTGGGCAAGATGAGAAGCTCTAGGGATCTGCTCCACAACCACATGAATACAGTTTACTGAACTGTGCACTTAAAAATGGCTAAGAGGGTGAATTTTATATTATGTATTTTTTTTTTGGAGAAAGATTAGCTCTGCGCTAACATCTACTGCCAATCCTCCTCTTTTTGCTGAGGAAGACTGGCCCTGAGCTAACATCCATGCCTATCTTCTTCTACTTTATATGTGGGATGCCTGCCACAGCATGGCTTGCCAAGCAGTGCGTAAGTCTGCACCCCAGATCTGAACTGGCGAACCCCGGGCCACCGATGCAGAATGTGTGAACTTAACCACCATGCCACTGGGCCGGCCCCCATATTATGTATTTTCTAACACAATTAAAATTTTTTTTATGATTGAATAATATTTTATTGTATATATATATACATATATGTTATATGGATATATACCCACACATACACATATATGTATACCACATTTTCTTTATCCATTCATCCATCCATGGACATTTATTTTGTTTTCATATCTTGACTGTTGCAAATAATGCTTCAATGAACAAGGGGATGTATATGTATCTTTTCAAGTTAGTGTTTCTGTTTTCATCAGATAAATTACCCAGATGTAAAACTGCTGGAATGTATGGTAGTTCTATTTTGAATTTTTTTGAGAAACCTCCATACTGTTTTCAATAATGGCTGCACCAAGTTACATTACCACCAACAGTGCACAGGGGTTCTCTTTTCTCCACATCCTCACCAGCATTTGTTATCTCTTGTCTTTTTGGTGATAACCATTCTAACAGGTGTGAAGTGATATCTCACTGTGGTTTTTATTTGCATTTCCTTGACGATTAGTGATGTTGAGCACCTTTTCACGTACCTGTTGGCCATCTGTATGTCTTCTTTAGAAAAATACCTATTCATGTCCTCTGCCCATCTTTTAATCAGATTAGTTACTTTTTTGATATTGAGTTGTATGAGTTCTTTATCTATTTTGACTACTAACGCCTTATCAGATACATGATGTGCAAATATTTTCTCCCATTCAGTTGATGGCTTTTTCATTTTCCAAATTCCAAATATGTGTAAATGGATATACTAAGATGGGTGAACCAGAGTAACACATCTCCTAAGTCAATAATAGTAACAGCCATCTCTTACGTAGATTCTGCGCAGTAAGAGCCGTAGATATTAACACTTTAAACTAACAGTATATGCACTTATTCATCTGTGACTAGTAATGTTCCTAACACTTTCATCATGTTCCCTCATTTAATCCTCACCCTATCTGAGGTCAAACATTATTATCTTCTTTTTTCATTGAGTAGACAGAGAGATGGTGGGTAGAGGATAAAGTGGACCCACAGCCACAGTCCAGCCTCAGAGTTTGGGCTCCTTAGTTGGTGTCCCTAGAATGTCTAAGGGCTCAGTCATTGGTGAGAACCCTGACTTGTTCCTGAGATTCCACACAACCACAGAGCCTCACAGCACGGCTTGATCCTACAGGCAAAGTGTGTTCAATTAAAAATTTTAAAAAGAGCTTCTCTATCTGGGAAGAAGCCCCCACAGGATAGGATGAGGTAAAGCCATCACCACGACACTCCCTCAGAGCTTTGGGTCTTGTCTTTGGAGGGAAAGACACCGAACTGTTTCGTGGTCCGGTTGTATTCTTGTGATTAGCTACGTGTTTGTTCATCTGTTTTCTACATAGACAAGCTGAATTTATAACAACTGCTTCATCATAGCTGCAATCTGAGACCCAACACCCTCCAGAGTGGTTTGATTAACTGACGTTTTTTCTTTACCAGGAGATCCTTTTTAAAACATAATTTCAGGTCTGTTTGAAAGGACATACAAGCACATCCTACATTTACTGTAGAAATTTAATTAATTTGTTCCTAATTTGTCACAATAATGCCAACATAATTTTAGTAAGGTTTGGGAGCTGGTATGGGTCCCCAGGGGAGGACAGAGCCTACGTGTTTAATCTGTGAAGAATGTTGGTGCATCTTGTGGTTTTAAACATCATTAAGAAACTTGAGAGAATACATAAAATATCAACGCATTTCTTTTTCTTTCTCTCTTCTCCTAGCAATGCAGCAAAAAGGCCTCTGCCTCTCTCCTATGGCTTCTGAAGTCATCTGGCATCATCGCGAACCGCCCCTGGCCGCGGATCTGCCTCACGGTCGTCACCACGGCCATCATATTAACCATGGCCGTGTTCAACATGGTGAGTCAGGGCGCCCACCAGGCAGGGCCTTCTTTGCTTTCGATGCCTGTCTTGGTGGAATTTTGAAACCTTGCCCATAGCTCCTTTGGTGACTCCCCTTTCTGCCTTTTAAATTCAACATCCAACTGCTATAGCAGCAGCTTCACTAAGAAGGACGCTTTCTGTGGAAGCCACCTGGAGCGGGCAGCTCCTTCCAGCAGCTTCCCACCTCCCTGCTCATTGTGGCTCTTGGCTCCAGAAACGACATGGAATGTCAGTGGGATAACAGAACCGTCACATGACGGAGATGCAGTGGGAGAGGGGTCCTGCTCTGGAGGTTAAAAGGCCTGACTTCAGACATCAGCTCCCCACCTTGCTAGCAGTGCCGTCTTGGAGAGTTTTCATTAAACTTCAACAGGCTCCATTTCCACTTCTCGAAAATGAGAACTGACACTTCTCTGCCAAGGAGGTTTCTAGGGTAAATAAACTGATGTTCCTACCACACTTAGGACAGCACCAGGCATTTTGTAAATATTTAACCAGTATACCCAGTATAGTACTGGTATATCCTTAAAAATAGACACGTAAGTGATCAATGCACCTTGAGACACATCCTTCTTCTTATTCTGACATCATCACCATCAACCATAAGCCATTATGATCCTTCATATGTTGAGTGCTTTACTGTTGTTGGAACTGCAGAGGATCATGAGGCACAGTCCTTAACTTCCAGAAGCACAAAATGAGGTTGAGGAGATAGAGCACATGCATTAGATAATAAAGACAGAGTTTTCACAAATTAGACAGCATCCATTCAGCAAAAAAAAAAAATATTTATTGAGCATAAATATGTGCCTGGTCCATTACTAGATACTCAGAACCTAAAGATAGTTCTCTGCCTTCTAAGAGTTCACGGTGGAGTCTAGGAAACAGACAGCGTGGTAAACCCGCTATAAAAGAGTCTGAGAGCCAACAACACAAGCATGCAGAGAGGCGGCACAGTGGAGGGACAACACGGCCTGCTGGACTGAGCTCTGAAGGATAGGTAGAAGGAGTTGAAGAGATAGTGGATGAGAGATGAGAAAGAGGGAAGACATTTGGCATTGAGGACAAGGAAGAGGGCAGACATTTGTATTCAGAAGTAGTGAAACGTCAGGCTGAAGAAGTAGGTAGGGACTTTTAATGTTTACTTGGGATCAGTCCTCAACATTATACTACAGAGCCTGCAGATCCTGACACACCTGGAGATTCAGGTGAGGGTGATGCCAACTGGAGGCCAGACGGGCTGGGGTGCCATCTTCAGGGGCGGAATGGCCTCTTCATCCACTTCACCCTGCCCAGAAGTTACTCTGAAGGATCCATGGAATGGCGGTGTCAGAGAGAAGCTTGCCCTCCTTCCTCACCTTTCCCCTTCAGGAGGTGGATGTATGGATTCCCAGGTGTCCTCCTGCATTGGCAGCTGGAGGACAGGCGTGCTGGCTCTCCATACCTCACCTGCCCACATGCCCCAACTCCTTCTAGGAGTTTCCCCTTAGAAAGCCCATGAGGTCAGGCCCTAATGTAGGTGCCCCCAGGCGTGGGCCAGTGAGAGATCCCACCACAACTACTCCTTCTTCCACCTACCTGCTCAGCGTCAGAGATCAGCTCATGAAAGAGGCTGCTCCGAGCTGCCCTGTAGGCAGTTAGAACTGATGGTGCCTGAGTGGAGAGGGCTCAGTGGTCAAGCCCATGCAGCCAGCAGCCTTCCCTAGGACTAGCTGGCCCTGGTACTGCATTCATATGTGGAGTTGTCTTGATGGGTCAAGTTCACCAGGGGACTCCACCATCCCAGGCCTCCTCCTGCTCTGTAGAATTAGTGAGGGACACTAAGCTAACCTCCCCACCTCCTCCATTCATGGCATCTGAGGCCGTCTTCCCACTGCAGGGACATGAAAGCTCCCTTCAGGATGGGGGCCTCGTCTTCGAGGTCTCAGGCATACCTGGACCATGACATCAATTATTTCCAGCAAGGGCTTAATCAAGACTGCCTGGGGGACCTCTGGAAAATGGACAAGTCATTCCCTGGAGAACTCCCCTGCTTTTAAGGGGCTTGAAAACGCAAGGGCTCAAGGAGAGACTTGCATCAGGCAGCCTGAGGCACACACTCATGAGGGGCCCAGAGCAAGTGGCCAAGGGCTTTCTGTGTGATGACAACCCACAGGGGTTTTTCCTGAGGCCCCAGAGCTGTCATCAGAATGCGGGAAGCCTCAGAGTGGGGAAGGTGAGATGAAGGACTGAGACCGAGACAAGAGTGACTTTCCTGGAAGAACCCTCCTGCAAATGTATTCCTAGCCACTAGGAACCTCACCTTCACAGGCAATATTTTGGCTGTTGCAAGGGCGTGGAAACATCATAGGGGAGGAAGATGGGCAGAGAGGCAAAGGACAGTGGAAAGAACCTGTGCAAATCTGAGTGTGTTTCCTGAAGCAGCTTTCTCGTGCTTGACTCTGTAACATGCGTTTGTGCATTAGCCCTGCTGCTCAGAGGTCCAACCCTCTGGGAGAGCGTACCAGCAAGCTCCCAGAGGAGGTGGGCAAATGAAAGCTGCAGGAGACAGCTGGGGCAGAGGTAAACTCCACCATGAAGGGATGGGAAACGGGACACTCTTGAAGGGTAACGGGGCACACTAGCTACTGTTCTCAGATATTCTACCAGACACAGAGTGTGTTCAGTTTCTCTAACAAGGGGTGATTGCCACTGTACCCTTATAATTAAGCCTCCTCATCCATCAAGAGTGTGTTCACTCACTTGTGCATGCACAGAATGAATAAAACACAATTTCCTGAGGCCGGCCCGGTGGTGTAGTGGTTAAGGTTGCATGCTCTGCTTTTGCAGCCCGGGGTTTGTGGGTTTGAATCCCAGGTGCAGACCTAGCTCTGCTCATCAAGCCATGCTGTGGTGGCATCCCACATAAAATATAGGAAGATTGGCACAGATGTTAGCTCAGGGCCAATCTTCCTCACAAAAAAACTAAAAAACACAGTTTCTGAGTTTATTGGCCTCCATTAGCCAACAAACAAATTATGAGAACAAGACATTTGACAGGACATTGACACACTTAAGAGTGAGGTCTTTTTTCTTTATTTTTTTTTGCATGTCCTAGGAAAGCACCTTCTATAAAAAGAGTAGCCTTTCGATAGTTACTAAATGAAAGAATGAATAAATAAATGGGTAAGCACACAACCCTTTAAAAAAGAAACCCATTTCTTTCTGTAAAATCCAGTTTGACCTTATAAAACCATGATTTACCACCTAATTTTTTAAAGACAGATTCTAAATGGGGAACAAATCTGATTTCGAAGCTCCTTGTATTACATATAGGATAATTTCACATAGGAAGCTCCTTGTGTTTCATATAGGATAATTGGTAATGATTGGCGTGCTGTTCAGTCACTGTCTATAAGTGTTTGACGAGCTGAGCATTTAGGAGTATATTTTTTGTTTTACAGTAACTGTGATCCCTTTGGGGAGGAAATACATCTCCAGTTCCAGAAATACATCTTCCAGGGTCATTTTCCTTCCTCATAAAGAAAGGAGTTCACTGTCGAGTAAGGTCGAGAAGTCTATGGGAGACGGGTTAAAAGCATGATGGATGATCTTTAAGAAAGAAATGAAATAAGGCTTCGCTCCACATCCTGAGCTGCCTTCTGCGGCAGTAGAGGCTGTGGGGCGAGCAATAAGCTAGATGCCTTTTTTTTTTCTGTCTAGTGATGCAGAGGGAGAGGAAATCAAAACTGCTCAGGCAGTTTTTCCCTCCACCAGTGCAGGAGAAATAGCATTTTCATTGATACCTGGTGCTCTGAGATTAGCAATTCTTTTCCATACAGATGCTCCTCTTGTATTTATTTCAAAGAAACATCATGAAACAGTATGAAAGCTGACATTAGGCAGAGAAAGGAAATAATTTTCCCTAGTTATAGAGCTTTCTTATAATTTCTTATTAATCACAGAGGGGAAGGACTCGCTCATCAGGGCACCATCTTTGATCACATCGGACGATTTATAGAGAGATGCTCTCGGCTGTGCTGATCCCCACCCTCTTGAGTTATGACTGTGTGAGGCAGACGCAGGGTGCTATGACCACCCCGGGTCATAAATATCACCACATGGTGCTGATGCAGCATTCAGAGGCTGGCTAGTCAGAACTGAGCATCAGTGGGGAGCCACGCAAGGGAGGTGGGCTCCAGGTCAGTCACTCACATTTGGGGAAGACCTTCCACTGGGGATGTGGGTGAAATCCAGTGTTTATCTGCTTGCAGTCAAATGCTCCCAGCGTTGTTTCTGTGCCTTTAGGAATTTCCTAGCCCCACTTCAAACTCTCCATTCTCGAGAGGTTTCTACCAAGCATAACTTTTAAAATTTGTCTTGGTAGTTCCTTTGAGAATACAATTTCTAGACTAATTGAGCCCCACTCCTGAGTTGTAGTTTTGCCGTTTCTTAGCGGTTGTTAACCCAGCGAGGCTAATCCAGGCATCGGACTCACGTTTCAACAAGAATAGCTGCTCTTTTGTGTGTTACGGGGAGGGAGAGCTTTCAAGAGCAAGCTTTGCGTAAGCCACTGGAAAGAAAACTCAATTTTCTGTTGGAAAACTTCACTTTTTTAGAGTCATAGCCTCATTCAGGTCTTCATGTATAGCCCTAGTGATTTTTAAGTGTTCCATTACGGACAAAGCAAAAATGATTTCCTTTTCTTTTCCTGCTTTTTAATGTTTGTTACTTTTTTATTGGGTAAAATATCTTTAACTAAGTGTACAATCCAGTGGTGTTAAGTACGTTTACAATGTTGTGCAACCATCACCACTATCCGTATCCAGAACTTTCTCATCATCCCAAACAGAAACTTTGTACCCATGAAACAGCAACTCCCCACTCCCGCTTCCTGCAGGCCCTGGTGACCTCTACTCTGCTTTCTGTTACTGTGAATTTGCCTGTTCTAGATCCCTCGTATACCTGGAATCACACAACATTAGTCTTTTTGTGTCTGGCTTATTTCACGTAGCATGTTTTCCAGGTTTTCATTTTCTCTTTGATGCACAGTCCCTCCACAGCAGGTGAACCTCTCAGTTTGCTCAGTTTTCCAGCCAGTGGCAAGCAGCCCTTTTTAATTGCGTCTCTGTCATCACCTGCCATCGCCCTCTTTACCTCAAAGGAGAGAGAGGACTTAGGAATGGTATGTGGGCTGAGGCTGCCTGCAGTCTCCCGCTGCCGTTGACTGGATGGTCCATTTCACATTGAGCCTTCTCATGGATTTTTAGGCACTGATATTTATTCTCAGCCTGCATTTTTACAGCCCTTGCAAGAGCCAGGGTCAACAGGAATGGTGTGTTCAGAGGACTGACTTTTTAAAATCTCATTACACACTGATGTAAATGATGAAACATCCAGGTCAGTTGTATTTAAAATGAATTGTGAGATTTTACTGTGACATCTTAACACCTGATGTGCACCTTGTGACATAGACACCCCAATAAAAAGTAGAGAAAAACAATCAGTTATCTAGATTTTTTCAAATGTGGGGTTTTGGGTACCAGATTGCAAATGACCTGTGTGTTTTGTTCCATTTTGGTTTCCAGCTGACTGTTTAGAATCGTGTATAAGAAGCTCAAGTGTCCTGCCATCTCTTTTCTGACATTTTGACGATATCATCGTTGATTTCCCACATCGTTTTGCAATCTCTTCTGAGAACTTCTCAGAGAATATGATAAATAGCATGTCTTTGTGAGCCACATAGACAAGGAGTTAGCTGTGGTCAACTAGTAGTCTGTCTGGACTTCTAATTCCAACCAAGTGACAAATGTAATGATATCATCAGGCATAAAACAATATTAAATCACGTGTTTGCAATTTAATATTATTTGAAGAACATAATTCTGAGATGTTTTACATTGCCTGGGAAATGTGAAATTTGGAGGAAACCTAAAAATATGCAGTGTTCATTGGCACTTTATTGGGACATTTTGTTCAGGATGAGGATATCTTTTTCTCAGTGATGACAAAGGTTGTAGAATATTAAAATGAGTCCAAAGAGCGGGTCTCCAAATAATTATGATGCTAAAATTCATTCTATAGAGGAAGTTGTGGCAGTTTAACCTGGAAAGAAGAGGGACCTGAGATTCCTAACTCTCGAGTATTTGCCTGCCTATAATTAGGGGGTGACGTGAGTTTATTTTAGGGTGACTAAGAAGACGGAAGAGGAGACATTGATAAAAAAAAAAATTATTGTGTGATGCCACATAGACAGAATGAAGATTTTCTTGATTTTCGGAGTAGTTAATAAATACTATGAAAAGGTGGCAGAAAGGGGTTAAGGAAGCATTGTTGGGTATAGTAATTGAAGTTCTTTATTGTTCTTTAAATTCAAACCATTGTATTTATTGTATAGCCTCCTTGCAAGATAGTTTTTCACAATATATATTTCTATTCCTTGTACGGCAAGACTGTTTCTTCTCTTTATGGTGCTATAATAAAGAAGTTTTTTATTAAAATATATTTGACATATAATGTTGTGTAAATTTAAGATGTACATGTTATTTGATGCATTTGTATATTGTAATGTGATTGCCACTATAGCAATAGTTAGCACGTTTATTGCATCACGTAATTATCATTTCTTTTTTGCAGAGGGAATAAATAAGATCTGGTCTCTTAGCAGGTTTGGTGATTATACTACAATATTGTTGTGTGTATTCACCAAAGTGTGCATTACATCTCCAGGACTGATTTGTCTACTAGTTGCAAGTTTGTACCCTTCAACAAGTTTTTGTTAATAATTTTAAGATCCCAGGTACCTAAGACTACTAACCTATCAAGCTAAACAGTCTCCTTTTATTTGTCATTTCTTGATTCTTCTTCTTCTTCTTTTTTTTTTTTTTTGGTAAAGAAGATTGGCTCTGAGCTAACATCTGTTGCCAGTCCTCCTCTCTTTTTCTTTTTGCTTAAGGAAGATGGTCCCTGAGCTAACATCTGTGCCAGTCTCCCTCTGTTTTGTATGTGGGATGCCGCCACAGCATGGCTTGATGAACAGTGTGTAGGTCCACACCCAGGATCCGAAACCACAAACCCCAGGCCGCCAAAGCAGAGTGTGCAAACTTAACCACTGTGCCTCCAGGGCAGCCCTCATTTCTTGATCCTTTAATATTTAAATAAATTGTATTTTGAATCTATCATATCTAAATTTGTAATATTTTGGAGTGTGATATTTGCCAAGAAATTACTCCAATCATTTTTTTTCTGATATAATTATTTTTCAAAGAATTAGCATACTTATAGTTCAACCAGGGGTTTTGACATTTTTGATAACTTCTTTAGTCTAAATAAAGAAATCTACATTTCTTTGATTTTTAAATGAACTTTTTACTGCATTTGATCAAATGATATGATGAGTAGAAGCAGTGTATGTAGTATCATTCTTGGAATCGGAGTGTTCCCAAGAATATACTAAATAAATGCCTTCTTATCTACCTGAGTAAATTAGTTTAGATATTTGACAAGAACTCTGCCATCAAAGGAAATAAATCAATAGAAGCAAACAAAAGCAACCATGAAAACGATGCAGGAAAGTTATCCTTTCTAAACCTTGAATATGTATGGTCAGCCCTATGCAGGAAACACAGCCTAGCTTTATGGTTGACGTGAGTTTCCTTTAGTAAAAGGAAGCTGGCCCGAGTGATTTGATTCTCTCGTTTATTTTTACTGAACGCTCCTCTGACCCTCAGCCGCAGTACAGAAAAGTGACGGATCCTTGGTCAGTTAAACAGTCTGTGTTACAGCTTCTGTGGAAAAGAGAGAGACAGAGAGAAACAGGGAGAGAGAGACAGAGAGAAACAGGGAGAGAGAGAGAGAGAAACAGAGGGAGACAGAGAGAAACAGGGAGAGAGAGAAAGAGAGAAACAGAGGGAGACAGACAGAGAGAAACAGGGAGAGAGAGAGAAACAGAGGGAGACAGACAGAGAGAAACAGGGAGAGAGAGAGAGAGAGAAACAGAGGGAGACAGACAGAGAGAAACAGGGAGAGAGAGAGAGAAACAGGGAGAGAGAGACAGAGAGAGAAACAGGGAGAGAGAGACAGAGAGAAACAGGGAGAGAGAGACAGAGAAACAGGGAGAGAGAGAGAGAGAGAGAAAGACAGAGAGAGAAAGAGACTGAGAGAAAAAGAGAAACAGAGAGACAGAGATAAAAAAAGAGAGACAGAAACAGAGAGAAACAGGGAGAGAGAGAGAAGGACAGAGAGAGAGACAGAGAGAGATGGAATTCTCCTACCTTGCTAACAGCTTGACACTTTCCTTCTGGGAGCTGATCTTGGTGACTTACATAGGAGCTAATCATCTTTATTTTCTCAGGATTACTTTTTCTTTTAAATGAGGACCCCCTTTCCAACAGTCCTAAGAGTATCCATCCTCTCAGATTTTAGTCTCATGATGCTGAGCTGCCAAGTGCTCACAAATAATAGATGCAAATGTTGATGCCAATTATTGCATTTTACCCATAAAATTCATTTCTTTTCTTAAAATCAAAAACTCATCAAACTCCATTGACTCATTGAATGTTTGAACGAAGATGGTGAAGATACTGCAAAAACATTCTAAAGGCTCTGATTTCTTAGCAGATGGTTGAAAGTCTGCGTGCGTCGTGATGTCAGCCTCAAAAGTAATTCTAACCAAGCCCTCTGCCCTACACTTTGGACATTTTTCATTTAGTGTTTAACAGAGGTGCTTCTGTTTTCTTTAACATCAATTCTGTAGTTCTGGAATTCACTGTTAAGTGTGTAGCACCACAAGAAATAGTTATTTATTTATTCAATAGAAATTCTCAAAGCTTCAAAAAGGAGAAGATGAACCTATTTGCGTTCGACATACAGATGCTGGATTGCCCACATAATCCTGCTTGCTGCGCAGAAGGAACCCAGTCATTAATAAACTTAGCACCCACCTGCTAACTCTTTAATCTCCTTGGCACTAATTCATTGAAAAAAAAATCATTTTCTTTGCAGTTTTTCCTGAGTGACTCAGAGGAGACCATCCCTGCAACTGCCAATATATCAAACACAAGTCTTTCTGCCTCAAGTAATCAGGCAGCGATTCTGCGTGCGCAAAATTTGTTTTTCCTTCCGGTAAGAACATTTCATTCCTTATTATTGCTTCTGCTGTTTTCCTGGATGCTGTTAGCCTATTTAATGTCATGGTCTCCACTTTCTCATCTGTTCTAGAATTCTCTTTTCTTCTTTGATCTCAATACCTGAGTAGGTCCTGCCCAGTTAAACTGGCAGCTTTTGGAGAGGAGTCCTAACTGACTGGCACCCGTTTGATCCCGTTTGCATGCGCAGTGTCATTTTGATGCTCTTACAGATGGCTCGCCTTTATTCTCTGAACTGCTACATTGTATAGCATGTATCCCAGCACTTACATTCAATTACATGTTACTGAATTTCTGGGTTCGTTGCCTAGAGATTTTGCTAATTGTTTCAGTGAATTAGTGTTAGCTCCCTGACTGCACTGTCAGGGACCACGTCTCAGATTTCTGCCACTCCTTTGGCTGCAAATACTGTACAGTGATTATATCCTCAATAATCCTTACTCACTGACTCATTTTCACCAATGTCCAAGAGGGCCTAGGTTGAAATTTCAAAACTTATGAACACATGGGTCTTTTAAGTGAAAAGAGGCAAATCAGTTATTTACTGCTGAGTAACTTCTTTCTTCCATGAATTGTTTGTGCAAAAAAATGTGTTTTGATAATCTCCCTTTCATTTTTTGAGTAATCATCTACAAGTAGCAGGCATTATTTGAGTTTCTGTCTCACACAGTTTTGAGAGTAATAAATAAACTTTTTAGGGGACTGAAATTGGTAATTTAATGTGTATACTTTTAAAATTCCCTACTGGTTCTTTAAACCCCATTAGCTGTGGCGATGAGATCTCCTTTCCTCACTCCTTTCATTAATTTGTTCCCCTGACTTCTGGCTTTGACAGTTTTTCCCATCTTGCCATTTCAGTTTCCTGGGGAGCTCACAGCTCTGTGTACAGAGTGTAGGGGGTTCTGGTGTGTTTCAGAGGCAAGCTGACCAGGGTCCATGGGAATGTCCCTATGGCCTCCGGAAGAGAGGATGGCGTGGGCTTCATGCCTTATCAAAGGGGTCCTGCCTTCATTTTTGGCATTAAACCCCATGAGGAGTCGACATCATCTTTTCTATTTTAGTTATGTGAAAAGTGAGAGACAGGATTCGTGATGAAGATTTATTGGCTGTGATCTCTGTGGGCAATTTGGAGCCACCTTCTTTAGAGAAAGATTTAAACTAACTGTGTGGTCTCGCTCTTCCTCCTTGAAGAGATGGCATCACATGCACGTGGTCCATAGGCCAGCGGAGGGAGAGAGCACCTCCAGGCGCCCCATGCTGCACTCATATCGCACTGTGTCTGGTGGTTTAAAGTAAAGATGCGTTTTCACAGGAAAGAGAAGTGTAGCTGGCAAAGCATGTTTTTAAATGCTTCCATCTAATATTGTGGGGTAGAACAGCTCACCATGCTTGGCACCACTAAAGGCAATGAGGTAATCCTTCTGAATTTCATTTAGGTAAGTCTGTACGATACCTTATTTTCAAAAGAAGGAAATCATTAGAAACCCAAGATGGGAGAGGTAATGTTTACACAACCTGAAAAGATTCTGAAAAAATACACAAAAGACTCTTTAAAATCAAGATCAGACTTCGTCAACAGACAACTATTGTTCCAATAATAAGTCCTCAGAAAGAGGATTATGGTGAGCTTTGCCAAGGAAACCCCGAGAGTTCATGTACTGTCTGTACAGAAACTGTGTTATTAACTGGCAGGTTTAGGAGTCCCAAAGGAGCCTGGGAACATCCTGGTTCCCCCCTTCACAGATAGAAAGGAACATCAGGAAAGCTGTTCTGTGGATGTGCGTAATGTAAGCATTATTCCTCTCAACCCCCGTCCCGTGATATCTGAGCCTGACAAGGGAGTGGGGAGAGCTGTCCACATTCACTGCTGCAGGTGGAATAAAGTTATGTAACACTTCCTAATGATAACTTATAATAGTCATCAAAAAGCATAAATACACACATACTTTTTACCCTGCAATGCTAATTTTGGAAATTAATTTTAAAGGTGCAAAGATTTAGCTACAAAGGTATTCATCAAAGTGTTTAGATAACATCAACAACAGAAAAGAAAGAAGAAGAAAGCAAACAACCTAAGAGTTAGAATAGATTTAATTGTTTGGATAAATTCTGTTATAAACGTACAATAAAATTATATCCAACCATTACAAAAGATATTGCAGAAAAATATTTAATGACACAGAAGTATATGTTCGTGGTGTTATTAGTTGAAAGTATCATTTAAAAACATTCCAAACAGTATGATCCCAATTTTCTAAAATAATAATGCCAAGAATAAGTAGCAAAAAAAAGGCTGGAAATATGTATATCAAAAATAATTAATGGTGGCTCAAGTTGGATGTTGCAGGTTATAGAAGACCCTTATTTTTATGTGTCCTTTGTATATTTCTTAATTTTTAACATCAGTTGTATTTCAGTAGCAGAAAACAAAGTTATTATAAAATGTCCAACAAAATGAACCCTAAAAGATCTTTGCCATGTCGGCACTTCACATTCCACCAGGCATTTGTATCGTTTCATCCACAAAACTACCCTGTGAGGTAGATAGGATTGGAATTCCCATTTTCCAGCTGTGGAAACTGAGGCCAAAAGAGACTCGAGTAAACTACCTAAGATAACAGTGGCTATTCCCTTGGCGTTAAAATGCAAGTCTATTTCATCAAACAACTATATTGAAAGTGTTAATAACTACATTAACTCATATTAACTTAGTTAACTTCATATTAATATTATTAAACTATGTTACTTGGTAATTAAAATAATAATTACTAATTAAAATAATAGTTAATTTTAAATTAATATTAGCTTAATTAACTGTGTTAACTAATAATTACATTAGCTGTATCAAAACTATGTTGCAAATAAGGTTACTAGTAATTAGATCCTAATAGAGGTCAGTTCGCTCGCCTACAGCCAGAACTCCTGACCGACTGGCACTCTCCCTGGGCGGCTGCATCCTTAGGAGGAACAGCTGACCCTCAGGGCTGCCAGCCAGGCCTTCTCATGTTATTCTCCCTTATTCACGCATCCCTCTGTCGCTATCTGTAGCTTCCCACCCTGTCTTTAATGAAGTCCCAGATCACCTTGTGCACGGCCTCCAAGCATTCTGGAAAGGCTATTTAATACAAAACAGACTAAAAAGCTACTTTCCATTAGCAAGTATATTTTAGTAGATGTTCCTGAAATGTGAAAATTTTTTAAAAGCCTGAGAATGAATTTTAAAATGTGAAATCATAGGCATGTTTGTATAGGTATTGGCGCATATTTGAAACCAGGAGTATTGCAGGAAACCTTTACAGTCCATTCCCAACCCCCTGGAAATACACATGCACACTCTGATACACACTCTCATCTAAGGGGCCCATTATTCTGCTTTTCATACGGTTAAGCTGAACTGGTTGATAGCTTTCATTCTAATAATGGGTTTCAAACATAATTTTAGCAGCAGAATCCTTTGTAAAACCCAATCTTACAAAGAGCCCCAGTTTATAATAATAATAGCAGAGTTTATCTAGCCTCCCATGGGCCAGATACTGTTCTGAGCTCTGTACTTATCTTATTTCACCTTCACAACAATTCTTCAGAGTGGATGCTATCCTCTTCCCCACCTCGAGTCCCTCGTGCGGGGTGCAGGATTGCTTTAATTGTTCAGCAAGCTGCTTCGGGGAACAGGTGGGACAGACTCTGAATGGGGCCTTGCCCACTGCAGTTCCCAAGGCAGCTCCATGGCTTTGAAGGAACAGTTTCCTTCTACTAGTGACCATCAACTAAGACACTAGCAGGTTATAAACCAGGGCTCTCAACCTCTTTGCGGCGAAGGCCTTATTTTCATTTTGTTTTGTTTTTTCAGTTTCCAATTTGTGGATTGATACTTTAGAAAAATAGAATGGTGAATTAGCAGAAAAATGTACTAAAAAAGAAGACATACAAAATGCAAGCTTGTGTTTTATTGGCTTCAGCAGAAACAAGCCCACCCTGTCAGACTGTTAGGAGGTTCCTCAGCAGGGCTCCCAGGCCTGCGGGGCCCTCCCTGGGCATCTGCAGAGCTCCCTGGTCTGCTGCCAGCGGCTGTCCCCAGCCCTGGTGTGTGTTGTGTCACTGAGCCCTCACACCTGCCCTCACAGCTGGATACTTAATAACTTATCTAAGGTAACAGTGGCAGAACTGTGGGTAAATACAGGCTGGTTTCAAAGCACTCGCTTCCTCTCTTCCCTTTCTGCTTCAGGGAGCAGTGAATGCTGCCCGTCTGCTCTCTCACAGCTCTCTCGATTCTGTCATTCTGTCGATTCTCCACTCTGCCAGCCAGAAGAGTCCCGTCAGGACACACTCTCTCCTCTCCTCTCCTCCTCTTCCTAGTCAGGTTGTGGGTGCGAGCGGTAGTCAGAACAGTGGAGAACTGACATCAAGTAGGTAATTTTGGGCAAAGAATTTGTGCTTTCCACACTCACCATTCCTTAAAATGCTGCCTCGTGTAGCGCACTCTTGCCCGGGAACGCTTGACTTCCCCAAGAGTGACGCAGTTGACGTGTGATCCGTGGGGAACTGCTCGTCTTCCCTTTGAAGCTGACGCGCCCGGTGCAGTCCTCCGCAGTCCGGGCTCTGTATGAGTTCCTGCAAGGGTGCCTCTGACAGAGAACGAAGCTGCAGCTCGTTTTTCAACTTCCTCTCTTCCCCAAGAACAAGACTGATGAGCTAATATCCGTGGCCCTCCAGATAGCTTACTGTGGGTGACCTCAGCTGGGGTAATGAAAGTAAGAGCTAGAAGGACAAAAATGAGCCGTTTACACATGGCTCATTCCATACATTGAAGCTAAAATCGAGTAGCTTGCACAGTGGGCTATTTTTTAAAGATAGAGCTGAATCAAACATCCATCAGATCTATGTTTTATTAAAATTATTAAGCTTTATTGAATGCTGCTTCTGCTCCAGGAATGCTAAGGGAGGCGCATAACCACTTGTTCATAAAAACTTCCCCATGTAGCAAATAAGGCTCTGGGAGAAGAGCAACCATTCTCATTTAGTGAGTCTGTCGCAGCTTACAGGGCCCTGGGCTCCAAGCTTCGTTGTTCTGCTTCAGTGACCTACAAAGGACATTATGACCCTCATTTTACAAATGAAGACACTGACACAGGCGAGGTAGTTCACCTGCCTAAAGTAACCCAACTAAGGAGGGATTGAAACGGGACTGAATCCAGGGCTATCCTTTCTGGTAAATAATGGTCAATAGTGAGAAAAGTGCTAACACAGGGTGGGCCTGCCGGCTGCTTCCTGTGAACTGCAAAACATAGAATGTGCCAGCATCTTCCCATTTCTTCAGGTGCCTGTCTGCTTCCAGGATATTCTTGATTCATCCTTCTCAAAGCTTTTAGTTTTTTAAATCCTTTCTGTTTTAGATAGTCCTGACACACAATGTCTCTTTCGATAAAATGCCTAGGCTGTCTTATACTTTTAATAGAACTACTTGTAATGATTTATTCCTCTTAATGAATTGAATAATTGAAAGACCAAAAAGGATTCTATGTACTATCATTGTTTTTTTAAATCTGTAAATGTGTAGGAAGTTACATTGTTTTTATTTTCAAGAAGCTCATGGCATTTGCTTATAATAACTTGTCTTCGATATAGTTTTTCTATTACTTCTGAAAAGTATTTGGCAATACGCATGATTATTTTTTATTAAACACGTGATGCTGGGTCAGCAAGCCAGGTAGTGAGTAATTCTTTTCTTAATCAAATGTGTTCAGGCATTTAGCACTGGATCAAAGAGGGGAAAAAGACACGTGCTTTCACAGCCAGTTTATAGGTCGACCACATGAGCTTAGCGGTGGTCCCCCACTGTCATTGCTTCAGCGTTTCTCAGCGGAGATCCTGACTGTTCACCTGATGTGTTTCTCTCCTCCAGTACTTTATCTACAGCTGCATTCTGGGATTGATCTCCTGTTCGGTTTTCCTGCGGGTGAATTATGAGTTGAAAATGTTGATCATGATGGCCGCATTGGTGGGCTACAATACCATCCTCCTTCACACTCACGCCCACGTCCTGGATGACTACAGCCAGGTCTTATTCGAGAGGTAACCAGCTTCCTGGTCTTTCTCCTTACTTTCATTCTTTTATGGGATGTTGATAACATGTGTGTTGAGTTAAGTGCATATTAGCAATATCATTGTCATTGGTAATCATTGTGTGAGACTTTCTTTGAAATGATGGTTCAGGAGGATAATGTGTGTTTTTATTATAGATTACATAGACTATGTATTAGCATATACACTTAGAAGATAAGAAGTAGTTTAGTGGACTTGTGATATAATCTATACTATATTGATAAGAATAATCTAGGGTTTCCCACCCTTAGCATCATTGATATTTTGGACCAAATAATTTTCTGTTGCACAGTGGGGGGTGCTGTCCTGAGCATTGTGGGTGAGTTAGCAGCACCCCTGGCCTCTTCATACTAGATGCCAGACACAATCTCCCGACCCCAAGTCATGACAACCAAAAATGCCTCGGACATTGCCCTGCGGGGCCAAATGGCCCACCTGTTGAGAACAATTAAATTGATATACACAAAAATACTGGAAAATCAATGGTTACATTCTCAAGTTATAGCGCTGAATTTCTTCTTGGAGATTTCCTGAAATACTCTGTTTGGGGAGAGTGTTATCAACTGTGGCAATTCTCTGCTCTGTAAAGAAATTGACTTCCAAGATAAGATAAGATTGTGTTTACTCTCCCAGCCTTAGGACTGGATGCTGCGAGAATGTTCCTCTCAGGTCACTCACTCAGGTTTATAAAAGGTTTCCTGTGATCAAATTACTTCCATGAGCTTATGATGAATATTTATTCCCTGCTTGAAAAAAGAGTTTTAATCCTTACGATGTTCTCCATCTCACATCTTAATAGCAAAACAACATTTTATATCAACTATTAGGTTTATTTCTGGACCCACCAGGCTTCAAATTTTTTCTATGAGCGCTTTGCATAATCTTCCATAATGTTTCTATATTTCTTTTAACATGAAATAAATGCCTTTAGTGTTTGCATAGATTTATTGTTCCAGAAAGATGGTTTGTGTTGAGAGCACATGGCCACTTACTTCTCCCTTGGAGGCCCAGCGTCAAGAACGGGGGGAACCTCACTGTGTAAACGTTTCTGACCAATAAGAATACTTTTAGAAACACAACTGCAATGCATTTTCTGCATCTAATTTAATTTCCGTTATCATCCACACCATGAAATCCTAATAATCTGTAATCAAGCTTAGGGTAGTGGAGTTGCAAAAATGTATAATTGCATTAAGGAAATTTTATGGTTCCTTTGCCAAGATGAGAATGAAATCAGAAGTTAATTTTCCAATAAATTCTCAAAATCTCCAGCCAAACATGCTTTAATATTTCTCTACTGTATCCAGAGAGCCTGTATCAAATCCCTAAGTAAATGTAGTATTACCGATTTTTACGTGCAACTGATGATGCTACTAAATTTTCCTTTATTAAATTTAAAGCTCCTGAATATGTTACACATCCGAAACAAAAGAAGAAATTAGATTAGCGTGTTTCTGATGGGGAGAGAATGACTTCTGGGGATCTGAAAGAGACACCCCATCTCTGATTAGAACCCCAACAGCAGGAATGTGGTTATTTGTTTGAGGAAGAGGAGTTTTTACGTTCAGAGCCCTGTCATTTCATTCAAGGCCTTCTATGTTTGCTCTCTTGGTTTCAAGGTTTGTAATAACCTTAGAGCTATGGAGGGCCGACATGAGGAGCCTCAGGGCCCCGCCTTCACTTCCATTCTCTCCAGGAGGGGTGCGTTCCTAATCTTGACCGTAAGATTCTGGCCCTTCCAGACCTGATTCCTGCACGAGCTCCCACAATGTTCCCAGAAGGAGTCCTCTGCTGAAAGATGAATATTACTAACATAATAGCATAATATCTCAAAGTTAACAAGTTTTCTTACTATCAGGTTAAATCTACCCCTAAATGAGAGAGCCTTAAGAATGGAAGTTTCAAATTCCCTCCTGCTGTCTCCAGCCTCAGTGTATGTTTGATATAACCCTGCAACTCCTGCCAGAGCCAAAACTGATCACTGTCAATGTTTTCTTTCTTTTTTCTGAGATTCAAGAGATTCTCCCATCAAACGACTGATAAAGGTTCCCTCATCCTTTGCCTGGTTTGTTGATGCTGACACAACTCTGTCAGACATGAAACCAGGGTCCTTAAAAAAAACTCACTGATCTGGGATGAACATCCTTGAGAGTGAACATCTAAGTCCCAAAGCCAGAGCCCAAGTTCAAGGAGGGAGCCGGCTTCCAGGAGCGACAGGCAGCACCTCCGTTTCTGACCAAGCTCTTGTGTGTCATTGAAGTCATGTGCTTGGTCCCGTCCTTTTCTGACTTATTTCTGGTCACTCCATCCTTGCCTCCCTTTTCACTCCTGGTTTCCTGGTCCTTGCTCTGGTCTTCTTTCTGGGACCCAGGCTTGGCTGTGGCATTGATGTCCTTGCTGCCCACCTTGGCTTCTGGACTGGCCTTCATCAGCACTGACCACTCCCAGTAGACCTATGCCCAGCTTCTGGCTTTTACTGATGGGTGTGCCTGAGAACTGAGCAGCCCTCCCGCCTGAAAAGGTGAAGAGTATCACCCCTGGAGGAGTCGGTTGGGGCCTCTGTTGTCTTCTAGCCCCTTTTCTGTGATGCATATGCTGGGGACTTTAATAGACACTCTAGAATCAAGGAAAGAGCAGGTCTGAACCAGGTACCACTGCGGTATCCACAGTGCCTACAGCTGAGCCAGGCATCTAGTAAGTAGGTGCTCAATAGACCTCTGTTGAATGAATGAATAAAAGCAAGGTGTGCTCCTGAATAATCAGAAGAGCCCAAATACTGGCAGTAATGAAATGTCTCACCTCACCTGCTTCCCTGGAGGCAGAGGCTGCTTGAAGTTGTGTCTGTTCAGTATCAGCACCAGTTTTTGTTTATATCCTAATTTTCAAGAGGAAGTCTGGAGAGGGCATCTCTCTTTATAAGGCAGTGCTGGGCCATCTTCTGCACACACGGTTTGGATGGCGTTAAGAGTTCACCATGTTTGATGTTTCAGGGGCCATTTCTGAGCCAAATTTGACGTTGATAATAGATGAGCCAACAAGATGGTGCAAACCAATAGGGAATTTTTGCCAACAGGGTTAGCAAAGAACAGAGGAAAAATAGGTGCTAGAAAAACTCCAGGTCAATGAATAGTTCAGAAAATCACATCAGATATTCTCATGAATGTGGAAAGCCAACTTCTTAGGAGAGAAAAAGAAGACTACTTTGAGAGAGTGTGCCATTAAAAATCCATTCGAATGGAGGCCAGCAATGTCCCAGTCCTTAATATTACCTGCCATTATGTGATTCTGATAAGTCACCTTGTGGTGAAGGAAGCTCGGAAGTGTCTGGTGTTTAGAAGATCCAGAACAAGATGTCTCCTAATTCTTTGGCATTTACAGCAGTCCTCCATCTTGACTGTGAGGACAAAATGTTTTGCTGAACCGATCGATAACCATTCCAGTTCCAGTCCGTGACACTGTCTCCCAAAGCTCTCAGCCTTTGCTGTCCAGGACGAGTGCTCTTCACGGTGATGGTGATGTTGATGACCATTGATAGTGCTGCCAGCTGTTTTTGTTTTGAAGACACTTCCCTGTCCCATGACAAAGGCTTGTTACAGAGTCTGCAAAAAGTTGTCAGATTTTTCCCAAGAGTTTTTTTCTTGCAGAACTGAAAAGTCTCATGGGATGAGTGTTACATTTCCTGTGAACCCAGCCATTATGTTAATTCACCTGAATGCTGGAAATGCACCTCTAATTCCAGAGAGGTGTGAAGGATGGAGAGTTTGACAGAGGGATAACAAGGAGGCCGGTAGACTTACCAGCTCTGTTTGGGCACTTAGCCTAAGAAAACAAATACTCAGTGGACAGCCAATAAATAAGGTGCATAAATAAGTAGCAGCCATATCCAGTGCCCAATCATTCAGAAGCTCTGGGTTGTTGCTGGTAGAAATGTCTGCGTAATTTTGACTTATGACGTTGGCAACAGCTACCATTCCAGGACGACAATGGAGATGCTCCAATGAGCATATATCTCTGCGAACCATAAGTTAAGTGCCTTCAGCATGGAATTGTTCCACTTTCCCTGTGTCTCACGGAAAACCCAGTGGCTAGAATTCGAGATACTGTGACGTATTTTGATGACGTCCCAACTTGGGATCATCTGATAATGAGCTCACTGAAAGTCTCGAGGAAGAACGGCAGCCTTAATCACGTTCGGGAGAAAGTCAGGGCAGCGTTGCACATCTGCCCCGGGGTGAGAGTCGGGGGGTATTCCAAAGCACTTGAAATTTCTTTCAATTCTCCTCTTTTAAGTTAAAAATGTACTCCACATTTGCATTCTAATCTCTAGTATATCCAAGTTAATACTGGAAAGATTTTAAGTTACTTTCAAATTAAATGTCTCAACTTTCCCTCCCCTGCCTATTTCCACCCTGTGCCATCTCCAGAAAGTAAGGACACACATGTTTCTCTGTGGCTGACACCCACAAGCAGCAGAGCTGGGAGGTACAGTAAGGAGGTAGGTAGTCTGAGCTGCCCAATTTAACCAAAAAAGCAAGTCATCCTAGAGCTACTCAAATGCTCCACAGCTTTCTTTTCTTCTATAAAAAGCAACCATTAGTGAGCTGCTTTGTTATCTAACCTCAAAAAGAAAGTACCCTGTGATTTGGATCCACCTGCAGGCAGATACTCAATTTGTAGGTTGTTTTGTTTTGTTTGATTTCAGAGTGAGAGGAGAAAGGAGATTTCACAGAACCTGTGCCCATGGACTCTATAGAATACATACTCTTATCATCAGTTCTTCAGTTGATGATGCTAAAGCTGTGCACAGCCCCACAGCGTCTTATCGCACGGGTGTACCAATTGCTTTCTTCTTAAAATCACTCTTCTGTGCAGATTGAAACCACGATTGCAGTAATCAGGGAACATGGTTATCTCCACAGCAGAGGGCCAGCGCTCCCTCTCCAGACCCACTTTTATCACCTCTCCTGACCTGCAGCCGCCTCCAGGGCTTTTTTCTAGGCAGGAGCCTTTCCCTTATTATGTTAGTCTGTTTGCAGTCCCAGAATGTCTTGCTTGGCATTTATGAATCCCACTCTGAAAAAGCATGAGGCTTTGAGCTGTCTGTCCTTGGATGACATTGGGCCACTTTCCTTGGAAGTTCACATAGAATTCCATTGAATCTCTGTCCATCCAGGGGAGGAAAGAATGTCTGGAAATGAGACTCCTTAGGTTTCAAACCAACACAGTTATTTGTCCACTCATTCATTTGTTTTTAAAACACACTCTTATTGAACACCTTTTATATGCCAGACCTGATTGCTGGAGTCTGAGCATACAGAGATGAATAAAATATAGTCTCTTTTCTCATGAAGATCATGAAAGCTCTCTATAAGAAAATCCTGCTTCACCAGAAGACCAAAAGGAGACTTCTCGGGTAATTTGGTGAAGTTCATACAGCATACCCAGGAAATGGGTGAACACATCGGCTGGGAGCAGCATTAGGTGGCCCAGAGTTGACTCTAATATTGGAAAGACTTTGAAGAACCATGGAGATTCAGAAGCGCAGGAGAGGAGTGATATCAGCATCATGACAGAATAAGATGTCCCCTGTTTTTGCCCCCTCCAACAACGATAATTCGGCATCTATCCATGGACCTTTAAAAGTGCTTTTCTGGGAGCTGTGGGATCCAGCACCACAAGCCAAGGGATCCAGGAGCAGTCTCACCCACCTGGGCATCAGGTAATAGACATGCAGACCCTAGTCCCAGCTGTGGACCCTGCTGTGGCCAGTGAACCAGCTCCAGCTCCTCTTGGCCATGATCCAGGAGCTCCTGGAAAACACTCTCAGCCAGTCACCCACAGATGAGAGAGCCTCTGTGGAAGTTCAGGTTTCCAGAGAAAGACTTCCAGCACACTATTGGGGGAAAAAGATGCAAATTTGAATGCATTGAAGTGAGTAGGAGGAATAGTTTGACTCTACCCACGTCGCCCCTCCCCCAAGATGGCCCAGCTTAGAGCCAAGAGAGATCTTCTAGATTGCCCGGGGTTTATCCTGTGGGGAGAATGAGCACCCAGCTTCCCCAGCTATTCTGGATGCTACCAAAGAGGCCCTTGTCTCTCCTACAGCATCTTGAATGCTAAATCATGAGCTCATGACTGGGGGCAGGAGGAGGGTGGGAGAGCAGAAGATGGGACTCTCGGAGGGCATTAAAGGGATGCAGATCCTACTAACTAGACCATGGCCTCCATCAAGCAGCTGGCCCACGAGCCATTGGGAGCACCTTGCCCACGGATTCCCCCAACACTGGTCCACAGGCAGCCCTGCTGCTCCACATGCCTCACCCATATCCCCTGACCCTGTGGCCTGCTTCCTGTGCACGTTCCCAATGTCACTGGAGAGAGCGAGCCTTGGCAGATGGCTAGTGAGCATGCACAGAAAGCCAGCCTGAATCTGAGGACCACAGAGAGACCACAAACTTGAACTCTAGCAAGTTTTGTTTGGGAAAACAAAAGGGAGGCTATCAGTACTTGGCTTGGCACACTGCAGGATGGAGAAGAGGCGTAAAGCTCCCCTCATTCTCAGAGAGAAGATGGTGACCTCCTCTGGCTGGTGAGCTGGAATTCTTCCAGCCACAATTGGTAGGTAGGAAGGAGCCCATAATGCAAGCATTGCCTTTCTGGAGAGTTCTCTGAGTTCCTAAGCCCTTCAACTACTGGGACTGGCAATTCTGTCTCCTCATTCCTGCAGGAATCCTCTTGGATCTTTCATTCTTTTAGTGAAATTCACCAATCTGCATTTCCTTATCTTTTTCTCCAGCTTCCTCACTCCATTCCTTCCCTTATCATGCTGTAGTTGATACTAAACATTAGGAGAGCCATTTATGAAGTGCTTCCTATGTGTCGGGCTCTGTGCCAGGTATATAAATATTTGACATGTGACCACAACAGCCTGTAAGACTAAGATGTCATTACTCTTTCTGGCTGATGAGGAAAGGGAGGTTTGGAGGGGTTTGCCCTGGTCCCACAGCTCACTAGAGTCGGGGAGCCACTGTTCTAGCCTGGGGTAACTCACTTCAAGGCCCCCTGAGCTCTTCACTGCTCAGTCTCTCTCCTTATCTCATCAGCCCTTAAACCCTCTGTGGAGAAATGGGGAAAATCTCCAAGCAAGTTCAACTCACAGGCAAAAAGTGATTCCCTGATATTCGTACATGATTAACATGCCCTATGCCGATTATGTGACACGGTGCCCTTAAATAATCAACTTTTCTTTTTCATGTCTTACTTACTGTTATATGTGGAAAATAATCATTTGTCAGCTTGTGCAGGACTCCCCTGGGGAAAGCAGGAGATTTTTGCTTCCATGCTGCATTAGTCACAGCTCTCCAGGGAAACAGAACCAATCCTACAGAAATGTATATCAGTCAAGAGATTTATCATAAAGAATTGGCTCACGTAATAATGGAGGCTGGCAAGTCCAAAATCTGCAGAGCCACTGTCCCGATTTGAGTCTGAAAGCCAGAAGCTGCTGTAGAACCAGGAAAAGCCAACGTCCCAGTTCAGAGGCAGTCAGGCAGCAGAGAATTCTCTCTTACTCAGGAGAGGGTCAGCCCTTTCTTCTAGTCAAGCCTTCAACAGATTGGATGAGGCCCACCCACTTTATGGAGGGCAATCTGCTTTACTAGGCCTACCAATTCAAATGTTAATCTCATCCCAAAAACATCCTTGCCAAAATACCCAGAGTAACATTTGACTAAATATCTGGGCACCCCATGGCCCAGTCAAGTTGACACATAAAATAGACTACCACACATCCAGTTGAGGGGTGGCCGTTGTCTAAAATGTCATGGTGAGGATGGAGGGCCAGCATGGTGAGAACTCGAACTGGGATAAATTACTGATGTCTACCTGGACCTGAGGGGAAGCAGGCCAGGGGACCGGTGGTTTCCATCTGTGTTATGACTTTGTGATACAAAATCACATGAAAGAGGGAATAAGAATGAGTGCCTTCCACAAAAGTTACATGAGACTGTGTAATTCATAGGGGAGAGTAGCTTGTAGAAATTAAGTTCCCTACTTCATTTTTATACCTCACATGATTGTTAATTCCTAGCAGACTGCCCCTCTCTGAGAGTAATAGCTTAAAGAATTGAAGAAATCTTACGTCAAAGTATCCATATTGATCCCAGAAGTATAAAGAAAATATTATTAATATTCTACTATTCTTTCCTTTTATATTTATTAGAGCTTGGTATAAGGTGAGAAATCTATATTAATTTGGAAGAATTTTTCTTTTACTAAGTTCTCAAAATAAGGATTAGTTTGTTTTATTTTGATGCAATCTGGGTTTGAAGATGATTTGAAACACGTGTGTGTGCTCATCTGGAGTAGAGTGTAGGCATGCACCAGAGCTTCCACAGTTTGTTGATACACGAATTCTAAGTCCTGTGTGTATGTTGTTCTGTTGTATTGTTTTCGTCTGTTTGTTTGCCTCTTTGTTTTTACTAGACCAGGCATTTGGAAAGACCTAAAGACCATGGGTTCAGTGTCTCTCTTTATATTCTTCATCACACTGCTTGTTCTGGGGAGACAGGTAAGAAGTCTTTTTTTTTTAACATAACTTCTCTAAAGTGCTGTGTTAATAATACTTTGCTGATGTGCATTGTGGTGACTTTCATGCAAACAGATGCTGAAGCATCAGAATCATCTCATCACTTAAGAGAAAGGCAGGCAGCGTGAGGTGTGCATGCTTAGAGATCAGCAGAGGGAAGAAAGGGTCTTTCATTTTTTCCATAAGAGGCAGACTTTGTGAGTGGGAGAGATGTGAATCAATTAATTTCCTGCTAAATCTCAAAATAAATACATAGGTTTTTGTAAGCCTACGAAAGTATCGCCTCAATAGTTGACGCTAATTGGAAAAATATCGCCTTCCCTGGGGTTTCATTTGCATTTGAGAATGTATGGCAGGCTTCTTTTTCTTTGAAATGGGTATGAATACCTTTGCTGTCACTTGCAACATCCCTAGAAATACTGTCCTCTGTTCAAAATTTTATTTTGCGATGCAAATGAAATGATTCCTCCTGGGGCCTCCCACCTCCTTCTGGCCTCCCAGTAGAGTGGGTGCAGCATTTTTAAGGACAATATTCTTCCTCTGCCTGCCCACAAGCTCAGTCACCCAGACTAAAGACTCATCCCAAACCAGGTGGCTCTGCCTCAAACGACGTTTGTTTTAAGTTCTTTGATGGCTAGTGTGAAACAAAAAAGTGATTTATTTGGAAATAACCAACAAAGAGGCAATGCCAATTAAATTGTATATGCATCACTAAACAGTTCAATTACGGATGTGGCAATTATCTGAGAGGCAAATTATAGATTGCGTGTTTTGGTCTGGCTTCCACTTCTCCCCAGTAGTAAGCTGTTAATAATGGCACAGTCAGGGCAGAGTCCAGATCTGTGACTGCCAGTCCAGTGGCCTGGGACCAGGGTCCTCCTCTGTCTTCCCCAGCAGTGCCAGTGGCCTAGGCCAGTGGGCTAGGAGCTCACAGTGCAGCCCTCTCCACTCTCCTAGAGAGCTGAGCTGTTGTCCTGCTGCAGTGTCAGAAGATCGGTGTCTCTGCTCCATGCCCCCTGCCTCTGTCCCTGGCACATGCTCGGGTCTGCATTCTTTGGCTTACAGTGTTGACCACCTGCACATTTTTGCTGAACCCATTACACTATGTCCTGTTCTTTCTCCCTGGTTTCCTTCGTTTCTCTGGCTGCCTGGCTTTCTCCGCAATCAACCACCTTTCTACATTCACTCATAGAGAAAAGGCATGTCCTGCCTCAGGAAACCTGATAATTTCGATGAAAGAACTTGGCTTCCTTGCAGAATATCACCTAGATGATCATTCTCAGGAAGCAGCATGGCCGTCCCCTCTGTGGGGTCATCTCTTTCTCCATTGTGGGCCGGGGATGTTTTGTGCTGCAGTTTCTCCTGCTAGAAGGATCACTCACACTGCCTCACAGCAATACATTTTAAGAATCTGGAATCGAATTCTCCCAACTTTTTTATTGATCATTGAGATCATAAACAGGCAATACCACTATTTAAGTGTCGTTGAATCCAGTGGCTGCTCACTGATCAGTTACTCTCTAATTGATTTAAAATAAATAATCAGGAGTATGCAATGTTGTGGTGGGGCGTTGATTTAACAAAATAGTGCTGATACCATCTTATAAGGAGTCATTCCTTTTTTGTCACTAATGTAACAATAAGGAGGCTGACCTTCAGTCTGAAATCATTAAGTGAATGATTTACTAAGGTCCCGAGTATTCTAGGCTGACAAGAACCCCGAAGTCTATGATATAGTGCTTTTGCAAACCATCGCAGAAATGCAGGTATATTATAAACAAACATCCAATATTTGAAATATGGTTTTCAAGTTTCATAAGTATTCATGGCCTCAGCATTATTTATTTTCTGAAAGGTTTTGTAAATCATAACGCAGACATTTTGCAACTTATTTCTGTTGTCGTTTGTCCTAATGGCTCGCCTGCCCCGTGACCATCTTTTTTGAAATGATGGCTATGTGTTTGCTTTCTGAGCAAATTAGTATACTAAATATTGCTCTAGGCATCTAAGAAACCATAATGGAAACATAACACACATCTCGGACAAGAGCTACAGTCATTCTCTCTGTACTGGAATATGGTTTGTGCTAGAAATGCTAGCTAAGTCAAGGGCATCCTTTGAAAAAGAAAGATGCCCTGTTTTTCACCTGAGTTTAGATGACAGCACACTGCCATCAAGGGTGTGCATTTTTAGTGGGTTCATTCAAGATATGGAACAGGCAGGTGGCAGTCTAGTGACCTGAGAGTGAGGCTAAAGTCACTGTGAGAGTTCAGAATCCAGGAGTAAGTGCCATCATGGCTGCCTGCACCCCAGCCCAGGGGCCACTTCTCTCCGTGTAGAAAGACGGAGAGCCCTTCAGTTCCTCAGCTTGTTTTCAAAACTAGACAAAGCATAAAACTGCCCTTGAGGTTGTGCAGAGATGTGAAACACAGCAGTGAGGGTCGATAGGGTTCCAGATACAGCCTGGATGCCTCTTCCAGCCTCTTCCTGCTCTGTCCCATCCTTAGAGCCAATGAAGAGCAAATTCCGTGTCTCTGAGTGGGATCTGGGCCCTGAGAACTTGGAGAGTAGCCCCAGACAGTATCCGAGAGATGGGCAGTGATGTGAGGATAGAGGTTCACGAGGCAGGGCTGCTGTTTCAGCTGACATGGCACAGAGTCCTGGGATCCTCTTCAGCACTTCTCTTCCCCAAGGCACGGTCACGGAGGCAGTGGCTTCCTCCTGGCCCTCTGCTGAATCTCCTCACGTGGCCTCCCCCTGTGTCTGGGTGCCATCTCCCTCTCCTTTCTCTTATAAGGACACCCGTCCTTGGGTTTACAGCCCACCCTAAATCCAGGATGATCTCATCCTGAGATCCTGAAGTTAATCACATCTGCAAAGACCCTATTTCCAAAGAAGGTCACAGTCACCATTACCAAGGCTGGGACTTGGAACTATCTTTTGGGGGAACACCATTAAATCCCTCGTGACTGGTTTTGGATAGAAACATTTGTCTTCCTTTGGGAGCCCTCCACAATGAGTTTTAATGTCCTTGTACGTCAAGGAGAGGGTTCTACAGCAGAGTGCATTGGTTGGGAGGTGATAGGTGAACATTTGGCAAAATGTGGCTTCAGTCCAGTTGAACTGGTTCCAAAGTGCTCTGATTCCTTTGAGTAGGAAACTTATAAAATGCTTCCTGTGATGCAGTAGCAGTCGTTAAGAAAACCTGAGCAACCTCTGAATATGGTTTATGGAAACCTTTCAAACTTGCTGCCTGCCTCACTGGCCCCTTGGTTCCATCTCATGTTTCATTTTTGTCTAATCCCGAGTGTATATCTGTGTCTTCCCAATGCCACTGCCATAGGTTGCCTCTGTCATTTTAGTTTAAAACCAGCCACACCACTGGTTTACCATCCCCCCCAAAAATCCAAATAAATAATCTATTCTCCAAGCAAGAAGGCTTTTCTAGTAAGTGCATAGCATGATTTCCATAAATACAGAATGTGGAAAATTTGGCATTAATGCAAAAATTTATTATAGACAAATTTTAAAAATATCCCTTATGCAATCTTTTTTTTAAAAAGTCTCACTATATGAGGTAAAAATAAATGTCACACCAGAGGAGGAGGAATGATTTTTGAGTGTACCATACATAGTTTGAATCAAACCTAATCAATGAATGATCATTTTTCTTTCAGTTTTCAAAATGTGAATTTTTTTTTTAATTGCCATCTGTGCATGAAAGGCCATGTGTGTGTCTATGTTTTGTTTTGTTTGTGCTGTCATTGGTATAATTAATCAAACCAATAAAATGAACAAAACCCCTGCATTTAGTTCTTCTTTGCATTTGTTCGTCAATAAGTTACTATCTGTGCTGAAAATACACCCTCTCTACTAGGCCCTTCTGTTATAGGAAGATTCATTCAAGGCTGTTTCATTATATTAAATTATTTGCATCTTACCAAGCACAAAATGATGCCAAAACCAAAGAGAGCCTTTGACAGTAAATGGGTCTCTCCATTTCTACAATGTTAATAACAACTGGTTTTAAAAAACATTGCATTTTAATACATTAAAAGCCTGAACACATATGTTTTTACTAGCAGGCACCATTCTAATTAAATGATATCAAAATGAACTTTTGTCTAAATATAATGTCATCCTCTGAGTATAATGCAGTCTCAAAAGAAAAAATACATATTTTTCAATGAACACTTAATTATATAATTTGTGGTAGGGGAAAACTGATTTTCAGATATTAAAGGCAAACCGCCACAAATGAACACCATTATTTTTTAAATGCAAATCATCCAACAATGCACTCTCCCTACTAATGTATTTTCCATTTTTCATTTATTCATTATTTATATTCTATTATGTCTCTTTTCAAAAAATAATCCAAGCCATCTTTTATTAACATAACTATGCGAGAAGCTTTCATGTCATTTTTTCTGTCAAGCCTCCAATATAGCTATTTTCTCTGTTCCTGAGGCTGGTTCTTTCCAGAACTTGTTTGCAAATCCGTGTTAGAGGCTGAATGAGAGACATTTTGGGGGAACAGAGGGCTTTGTAGGGAGGGTGACAATTCTGTCTGGGGTTCTTTTTTCGGTTTTGTTTCGTTCTTTTTATTTTCTCTTTGAAACCTCCACTCTCTGGCAGGACAAGATGCCTATTGTTTCTTTACCTCTGTGTCCTCTTGTAACAGAATGAATATTACTGTAGGTTAGACTTCTTATGGAAGAACAAGTTCAAAAAAGAGCGGGAGGAGATAGAAACCATGGAGAACCTGAACCGCGTGCTGCTGGAGAACGTGCTTCCCGCGCACGTGGCCGAGCATTTCCTGGCCCGGAGTCTGAAGAATGAGGTCAGACGGTGTGGGGGCTCCTGGCTGAGCGGAGAGTGGCTTCTGGCCAGGAAGGGGTGTGGCTCGTAGCTGGGAAGGGGCAGCGGGCCGGGTGAGGGCTGGAAGCTCCTGAGTGTTCAAAATGTCCAGTATTGGCCTAAATTGGTCTGTTTTCCAGAGGATATCGATTGGTTGTCTCGACACCAACTGAGAATAGCGAGTTAGAATCCCCTTAAAGTCTTAGCGTGGTGTTGACTTAGTCTTCCTAGTTTTTCTTCCCCAATCAGGTAAGGTTCTGAATGTGCAATATGAGGCACTGGGGTTCCAAATATGTCACAAGAGTGGCCATCATCCTTTCCCTGGTGTGAGAGGACACTTTCCTTACCAGCACGCAGTAGAGGCCCAAATCAAGAGGCAGAATTACACTGTCCGTCCCGCACACCCACGGTTTCCTTCCTCCTGTCTTCCCTGAGAGCCTTTTAAGGGTCTTAGAATTCCATTAGAGATAGACTATGAAATAGACAGAATTTAGGCAGTATCCCCACAAGAGCAGATCAAAGACGAGTCCATCTCTTTAAATGGATGAAATGGGAATTTCATGGGATGCCTAAAGGAATGGATATTTAACTAGAGTTGGAAAAACCAGAGTGTCATTTCAGTGTTTAAGTGGCTTGTGAAATGAATGCCATCAAATTTCTTTAATATTGCTAAATTACCAGAGTCAACAGATGTCTCTACAGTGGAACTCTATTAATTTAAAAAACATGTATTTGAGGATCCACTGTGTGCAAAGGCCTGTGTTTGGGACTGTGGAGTTTCAGGGATGTATGAGGTGCAGTCCCTGTTCTCAGGAAATTTTCATTGAGGGCTGGAGTGCATAAGGAACCAGGACACCGATAGAGTGATGAACTGATTAACAGAGAAACTCGACCTTATTGATGGTAGAACACAAAGCAGCCTCTTGTGAGAAGACTGAGAGCCCTATTTTCTGTAGCATATTTAAAGTTGACATTAAGAAGAAAGTGCCGGGGGCCGGCCCTGGCGCCGAGTGGTTAAGTTCGCACACCCACTTTGGAGGCCCAGGGTTTCGCCAGTTTGGATCCTGGGTGTGGACATGGCACCGCTCATCAGGCCATGCTGAGGCGGTGTCCCACACAGCACAACCAGAAGGACCTACGACTAGAATATATGACTATGTACTGGGGAGCTTTGGGGAGAAGAAGAAGAAAAAAAAAAGGAAGAAGATTGGCAACAGATGTTAGCCCAGGTGCCAATCTTTAAAAGGAAAAAAGAAGAAGAAGAAGAGGAAAGTGCCAGGTGGTATGTGAGATGCTGGACATTGTCACTCTTGTCTTCTAGGAAGTGTGCCAGGCATGGTGAGCTGGTCCAGGGTCCCATTGCAGGTCTGACTGACTGTGGACCATTCACTTTTCTCTTTCTTCTGGTGTTTTCTGCCTTCAGGAGGTTATTCAGCAAACTATTTACCTATTGGTCACAGATAATGAAATCACTACATCTATTAGGAAGGAACCATCTGTTTTCATTAGCAATATAAAAACTTCTCTATGTCTATATGTCTAGCGATCAGTGCAGTTTATAAATTCAGCATGTACTGAGGGTTGCCCCTGCCCTGTGGCCAGGCTAGTTCTGGACTTGGATGCAAAGATGGACGGGATAGAAGCGGCCTCGTTCCCAGGAGGTCACAGGATCCTGGTGTCTCCAAGGCCACTCACAGCATAAATGTGGGAATCCAGAAAGACAACCATTATAAGGAAGTGACTTCTGAACCTGAAAAGAAAGTGCTAGAAACTAGCAGGGAGATGGAGGCTGGAGAGGGAGAGGGCAAGAACACTCAAGTCTCCAGGGGTCTACCTCTGGCCGGATGCCAGGACAGCGCCCAGGTCAAGACCTGGAAGGCCGCGGGTTCAGCCCCACAGGCTATGCAGCCTCTCCTTCCCCTATTGACGTCTCTCTGGGCCAGGGATTCAGTGGATTCTCTCTCTCCTTTCCTGCTTGCCTGACTTATTCTAAGCAAGCATCTGAACACAGTTGCCCCTTTGCAAATCCTGAGGAAAGGCAGGGTGGGGAAGGAGAATAAAACTTACATCTAGACAGCGTGGGCTCCAATCTTAGTCGCTATGTTTTCCATCATGGGAACTCGAGCCGGTTACTTCCCCAGGCTGAGCCGCAGTCTCCACATTCCTCAGAGGAGAACTGATCCTTACTTTGCAGCTGCCTTAGGTAGAGCGTGGGACATTTACACATTCATCACACTGAGTATCCCTCCAGGTGAGGCAGGAATGTGACACAGCAGGATAGAGCCCCCCATCCACACAGGCGGGACATACCTGGCAGAGACGGCCACATCTTAAGCTGGCAGCACATTGACTCATCCATTTGCTGAGTGGCCCTACTGTATGCCCAACCAGTGACCCTCATTCCACCAACACACCTCTCCGGTGCTCCCAAGAGAGGGTGCCATTTCCCTCCAAGTCTCCTCATTAGTGCTGCTATTTTAAGAATTAAAAGCACACACAGGTCTCCTTCAGCCTTCACCACGCGGGGGGCCTCGTGGGGAAAGGCTGCAGAGTGGAGGCAGGACGGCATGGTGGTTTGAGTCCCTGCTCTGGTGCTGCCTCAACTACGTGGGAACTTTCCAGGGACAAAGTAGGAACCAGCACATTTAGATGAAACTGGCTTTGCGCCTTTTCCTCATTTGTCAGGTGAAGAAGGTGACTTCCTCGGGAGCCTCATCCATGGCCCCGTGAGCCCTGTGTGTGTGCACGAACCTGTCTTCAGGCACTAAAATAATTTGCCCCTGCGGACAGTCAGGACCTGGGCACCACGCTTCCAGCTGTGGCTCAGGAAGATGGCTCCTTCTTCCTTCAGGAAACATACCTGTGACCCTGGCAGCCTGCAGCCCTTAGGAAAATGAATAGGAGCTCAGTTTCAGAGCTTTCCAAACTCTCACTACCACCAATGGCTCCAAGTGCCATAACAGCCATATTAGGGGTCTTTGGTTTGTGCTCAGGTTCCTGCCATCCCCACACAGCGGTAGATTTGCACCCTCTAGCTGTTGCCCTGACATTGCTCAGGAGGGTGGAGCCACACGCACTGAATCTCAAGGTGGGGGCGTCAGACCCCTGAGACCATCCTTGAAATGATGGCTTCATTCTGCATGGCTGTGGGCTACCAGGTTCTCTGTATTTAGTCAGACAACACAGAACTCCCCTTGGCTGTAACTTTCCATATTTTACTGACAGTTTTTGTTGGTTAGGTCAAATATTGGTGGGGGGACGTGGAGGGAGCTACCCAAGCAGCCACTGTAAGTCTTGGAAATTAAATTACAGGGAGCTGCCACAGGGCAGCGCGGTCTGCTCAGACTCAGCACTCTCGGTAGGGCAGGTTTGCTCTCAGGTCGCTGGAGATCAAACAGTCAGTGTAGGAGATTCTGTTAGCAACTGTCCTCTTGGGAAAAATCCTGGATGCAAAACAGAGCCTGACCACGAAGGGTCTGAACAAGAAAGAGAATGACTAACCCATCACTTAAAGGGTCTGAGCGCTCCCACCGTGAGTCTCAGGAAGGGAGGGTCTGGTTTTTCTGTTTTCTTCCCCAAAACTCATAACAAGGTTATTCTAAAAAGACTCGTTTGAGTGCATAAACCACAGCAAACTCTTGCCCCTTCCTTCTGACTTCCCGACAGTTTGGTTGCCTAACTTCTTTTGTCCCAGTGAGAACTTCCTGTGCTCGATTAACTTCATCAATCAGACAGAAGATTCTGGACAGAAGAACCCATTCCCTGACCTAGTGACGTGTAATGCTGACCCCGTAATCCCAGGCAGGCTGAGATTCTTTGACTTTCCACAGCGAAACAGTGATGCTGTCTGTGCTATTTAACAACATAGAGGGGCCGGCCCAGTGGCTAAGTGGTTAAGTTTGCGCACTCTGCTTTGGCGGCCCAGGGGTTCACCAGTTAGGATACTGGGCATGTACCTAGCACTGCTCATCAAGCCATGCTGAGGGGGTGTCCTGCATAGTAGAACTAGAAGGACCTACTGGGGGACTTTGGGGAGAAAAAAAAAGAGGAAGATTGGCAACAGATGTTAGCTCAGAGCCAATCTTTTAAAAAAAAAATAGTGATATGATCAAGGTTGCTGGCCCCTCCACAGTGTCAGGGTCAAATAGATGTGCCTGGGTGAGCTCTCTCTCTCCCCCTAAGGCTTCCCCGAGGGGAAGGTCTAGCTATTTTTGCACCTGTGGGACCTGAAGCAGGATCAGTTCCAGTGGCTTCCAGACCCCTCGTGGCAGAGGATGGCTGATACTGGGAACCAAGAGAGATCCCTGTGCCCAAGGGCAGGCCTTCTTAGAGTGAAAGGATGTCCGTAGCACCTGCTAAATGTGCCTTTCCTGGGCCCCTGCTTGGCAGCTGAGAGCACAGGTCTGTCCCCAGCCATGGCACTTCTCAGCTGTGGTACCTCAGGCCTCCACCCTCTCAGAGGCTATGATTGATTTCAAAAGCAATAGTTCACTTAAAGCTCTTAGAGCAGTGCCTGGCATGCAGTAAACACTCAATTTTAGTTATTTTTGAGCAAATATCCCAAGCTTATGTAAAACTTGAGAGTCACCGCCCCCAAGAATTTATCAGTAGCTTTCAAGGAAGGCTTCTCCCTCCAGCTCTTCAGGGCCTGAACAGAGTGGGGAACATTTTGCCCGCCCCCGCATCTGGCAGCATCCCCCTTCCAGGTCCTTCTCAGTGGGGTGGCCTGGACACTCAACGCTTCGGATGCAGTGACCCAGGGTTATTTTTAGAGCTTGGGGTGGACAGGAGCAGGCCTTTCAGTCCCACGGTGAAGGTTACTGCTCCATGGTTTTCTGGAACAATCCTTGGGAACGTGACACATGACTTAGGCCAGGACTCACATTAACAAAGAGCCTGTGGGCATGTCGTCTTGAGTCTCCTACTCACATGCATGGATGTACAGAGGAAATTAACATCCCTTCAGAAATAGAGAGTAAAGAA